CCCCCCCAACAAAACAAACAGAAAAAACAAACGAAACAAAAAAAAAAAACGTAAACAGTCGACCCCTCTCCCCTATGTATATAAAATAACGAAGAACAGAACAATCACGAACACGATTTTCCAATCTTCAAACTTGTGTTACAGAACCAGACCATTACCTTGTACCTTCACGTTATCGTCGGCCAGATGTTCAGTTGCACTTACGAGGTCCGTCTCAGAATAAAGTTTCCCTGTCATGTATTATAAATCACCTTGTATTTGGTACCAACAAAAAGATTATTCAAATACCTATTCTACGTAGGAGCCACCAAGTTCCCGACATTTTTCCTTTTGATGTACCCAGCGGTCAAAGACAGTGGTCAGTGATCGTTTGTCCAAGATCCCGAGTTCTTTTCTCATCATAGCCTCTTGAATTTTGAATTTGGTCCACGTCCTCAAACTGCCGACCTTGCAGCATTTCTTTCACCTTGAGGAAGTGGTGTTCCAATAATTCCCACGAGTAGCCCTCGAGAAGCTCGTGCACAACTCTGGACTTGTGAACAGGCGAGTTGTCCTGATGCAGGATGATGCCTTCTTCAAACAAAGCGGGCCCTTTTTCCTGATCGCAGGTCTCAGCTTGTCTTTAAGGACGAACCTATAGTAGTTACCATTGACAGTTACGCCAGGTGTGACTAGCCAGCTCAGTGATGCCACCCATGTCGAAAAAAGCAAAATGCATCACCTTTCTCTCCTCGTGTTTTTTGTTTTTGTTTTGTGTGCGCTTCATCTCTCATGTCAGACCTCCCACTTCCACCATCAGCTTCCCTGATCCATTTCCTTACTGTTCCAATTGATGGGGCATTATTCCCTATTACTTTGTGTAGATCACCATGGGTTTCAACGGCAGACATGCTGAGAAGAATTGAACATTAAATTGATCACAACTCGGACATCGTAGCATGAGAAGGTTGCACCAATGTTTTGCTCGGCCATTTCCCTCGAATTTGCATTGGACAGGAAAGTGCACAAGAGCACTACACTTGACACGTCACAGCTCTCTGACCCGTTCACCAATGCACTTGCAATTTGACGTTGAGATTTCTTAGACATCATGTCATGACGTCACACAATTTAGTGGCTGTTGGTTGCGTACTTTTGATTTTATGGAGGAGGGAAACTTTATTCTGAGACAGACCTCGTAGCCCAACATTTCTATCACACACTCAGGAACAGATGCAAGCAGAGACCACAATTTTAAACAGCCTGTCAGAACCTGTTGGATTGAGGATCCACCCCGGAAAGTCAAAAGTCCTAAGGACAGATGCACTACGAAAGGAGCAGGTCACTGTAGAGGGAAATGCAGTAGAAGACGTCGAATCCTTCTGCTATCTTGGGAGTATAATGGACAGAGAGGGGGGAACAGGCGCTGAAATAAAGTCCCGTACTGGAAAGGCACAGACTGCATTTATTTCTTTGAACAGGATTTGGAGGACCAGAGATATCCAACTACGAACAAAGCTCAGGATTTTCAACTCAAATGTGAAGTCAGCCCTGTTGTATGGGTGTGAGACATGGAACGCATCTCAGACGTGCATAAAGAGGATCCAGGTTTTCTTGAACAAGTGTCCGAGGAAGCTACTAAGGACCAGATGGACAGACAGGATCACGAACGAGGAAGTATTCAGAAGAACGAGACAGAGCCCAGTCAGTGATGAGGTAGGAAGATGGCGTTGGCGATGGATTGGACACACTTTCAGGAAGTCAAGCAGCTGCATAACAAGGAAAGTGTTAGATTGGAACCCACAGGGTAAAAAATCAAGGGGAAGACCACGTGGAACCCAGAGAAGAGACACAGAAATGAGTGTAGAGAAAAGTAGGAAGACATGGAGTGACATCAAGCGACTCGCCCAGGATAGGGACAGGTGGAAAGTGTTCGTGACCTACATCCTGATCCTGGGTGAAAAAAAGGCAAAGATGATGTTGAAGTCCATCATAAGTTTTAAAATGAAGTTTATGGACCTGTGACATTAGTTGTGAATGATGGTGAAGTAATGTATTTTGCCACAAATGAAATTCGAAATGTCGGTAAAAGGCAAGAAAGGGTGCCAAATGTAGGTACATAAAAAAAAATTAACCAAAAAGGTGTTGAACTAAGAACAATTTAACAGCTTGCCGACGTTATGTTACCGTAAAAGCTCATAATTCATTTTGTGCACCATAAATGTATCCAGGCAGAGAGTTTTCCAGTACTCATGGACTCCCGCATGAGCCCAGGCCGCTGCCCGAAGAATGTACGTGTAATGCGTAGTGTTAGTGAAGGGTTCAAACTTCACCAACTCTCATATTTACATGTCACGTCACCAAAGTGCAACGGATAGGTTTTAGCCTTGCACGCAATAAACGTAAGTCGATATACAGGAATGCAACAAAAGCAGACACATGGCATAATTTTGTATTTAGCGTTGGAGACAATTCACTTGAGGAATAAAAGAGTTACCAAAACATTATGTTCGTGAACATGTAGGATAAAATGAATAACTACTAGAGAAATTGTTAATTAATTTTACAACTTAAAACAGTGTGTGAGAGAGAGAGAGAGAGAGAGAGAGAGAGAGAGAGAGAGAGAGAGAGAGAGAGAGAGAGAGAGAGAGAGAGTCTATAGTGAGGTGTGCTGACAAAATGAGTTACATCTTGCACTCAACCAATGGAGAAATTGGCCAAAAAATGATCGACACTAGGGGTCAAATTTGTAGATTTTTCTATTGATGCCATATTCTTTAAGTATAATAAGCCTTTTATTATTTCATAATCTATAAATTGTAAAAACTACACATATAAGCGTGGCATATCTCTATATACATAGGTCTCAAATCTGAGAAGTAACTCATTTTGAAAGCACCCTTCACAATACAATTAATATTATAGCAAAAGAGCTATTCTTTAAAAACGTTTTCAACCTGACTAACCCTGTACATGTGACTTAAACGGCTTCACCTCAACACATGAATGCACAACAATGCGCCTTACGTTCACTTGTGTAAGGAACTCTCAGAACAGAACATATTTAAGGGTGGTCATTGAAAGGAGTACTCTAGACCATCCTTCACTTAATGTACAGGTGCCAATGGTATGTTAAGGCAAGGCTTTTCCGATCTGTAGCCCACAAAAGACGTGAGTTCGATTCCCAAGTGGGTCAGTCTAATCTGACTGAGTGTCTAGGTCTGGGAAGATGAATCTCGCTCACCTCAACCCGTTTGACTAGAGGGAGGCTCTAACTAAGTAGCCTGCCTCTTAGATATAATATTATAATCTAAATTGTGTCGACTGAGATACGTGGATATGTCCTGCTTTCAAAACATCTATCGTCCTTATCTCCCCTCCTTTTTTGCTGTTACCCTCTTGAAACAGCGCTAATTTTAGGCACTTAAAAAGTAGAACATTTACAATACAAAATTAATCTAATGCTTTGGATATAAACTCAACATTTGTAGATCTAAATGTAACATTTTTTAAAAAACCTTTAACAGTTCAAAACTAACGTAATATTATTATTATTATTATATATAGCCCATGTTGGACGCTCGTTGAAAAACAATCAGGAAAAGACAGACGCAATTTCCGGGGCACTTGAATAGACATGCAGACTTCAAAATAAGTTAAGGACCACCTTGACAGACAGCCCTGATTTTTTTTTATCCGAAAAAAGACAGCAAGGAATGTTTCAACTTTTTTTGCTCTGAAAGTGTTAAAGGGTTAACAATGCGCACTGCAAAGCTTTCTACGAGAGGGGGGGGGGGGGGGGCGGGTCAAAAAGTCTTTGGTCTAAATATGTAGAATTAACAATAGAGCTTTGTAACTTGGCACACATGTTTTTATTTCTCCACATAGTCACTATACAGAGTTACACGTTTCTGCCACCTCTCTTTGACCTTCAAAATTCATTCAGAGAACAATGACCCAGAATGGGCCCCAAACCAGTCTTCAGAAGCCTCATTGGCGTCATCGTTGTCATGGAAATGAGGTACTTTGAGTGATTTAAAAAAATTAGGAAACAAAAACGTCTGAGGGGGGCTAGGTCCGGTGAATAAGCTGGGTGTAGCAGGATTTCAAAGCCGCGCTGTTCTGTTGTCTGGACTGCTTGTTGTGCGCTGTGCGCAGGGGCGTTGTCATGCAGTTGGAGGACTCCATTACGGAGTTTTTCACGCCTTTATCTCACCAATTCGGATCACAATGTTATCGTTAACCCCGAGTAGTAGTGTCCCGTGATTGTTTTTCCATTTCCAGGTAATCAGTCATAATGATACCTTCACAATCCCAGAAACACAACAGGATGGCATTCCCCGTTACAGTGTTACCTGTGCTTTCTTTGGTGAGGGGGAAGAGGGGGTTTTCCATTGCATGGAAAACATTTTTGTTCTGGATCAAAAGGATGAAGAGGGGCTCTCGTGGCCTAGAGATTTAGGTTTTGGCCTCTCATTCAAAGGTCCCGGGTTCGAATCCGGGTAGCGACCGAAAAATTTTCTTCTCTAAAATTGTCTCCTTTCACCTCCTTTCCTGCTCTCTAGCAATGTTCTGTTATCTGCTTTCATTTCCACTTTCTGCCTCCACCCTCTCACCTCCTTTGCCCCCTCCTCTAGGCTCCTGACTCTTTCTGCAGCCTTTCTACTGCTACTCCTTGGCTCCTCCTTACTGCTGTCTTTCTGCCACACCCCTGATCTTCTGGTAGGAAAGATCTACACCTAGCCTTCTCGGACAAGGGCTAAAAATCTCGGAGGGCCCGTGTGCAAGTTGTGCACGTTAAAGATTCCTTGGTGGTCTAAAATCGATAAGAGTAGGCTTCGGCCGCCACCCGGGCAAAATTCAAAATTTCCTACCGACTGAAAATTTAGTATTAGGTGTGTCCCGCGCGCTCATATGACCTACGCAGTTGCGAGCGCCGTAAAACACTTAACAAAAAATTTTTTTAAAATGATGAATCCATGTTTCATCCGTAGATACCATGTCTTTAAAGAAATCTGTGTCATTGGACTCAATTGGAAGGAAAGTTTTGCAGGTCTCAACCCTCAGCGTCTTTTTCTCACTTGTCAAAAGGCGGGGTACCCACCGCGTAACATCTTATTCATGTTAAGATAATCATGGAAAATCGTTTCAATTGATTCAATTGACAATTCACTGATTCTCATTTCACTTGAGAGCAATTTAATAACAGTTATACATCGGTCTTGTAGAACCAGTTTCTCCACTATGTACACATTCTCTTCAGTTACCACGAAGGATGGGCGCCCTTCACGATCTTCATCATCCAACACCGACATGAATCCAGATTTGAATTTTCTTACCCAGTATGTCACAGTATTATAACGAGGACAGTTATTACCATAAACATGGACCATTTCCTGAAAAATTTCCAAAGGGGATTTCCTTGCAAGAGTAAAAATTTGATACAGAACGATATTCAACAGGCTCCATGGCACAGCTTCAGTAAAAAAAATAAATATATATGTTTTTGTGCATGGTTTCATTGACCACGCTGACTAGTGCCGTACTATTGTCAGATTTTCCAGAAAAATTGCTTGGTGTGTTCCAAAGAAACTGGTGAAATTTCATTACTCTACCATGATTCCTTCATACCCAGACCAAAGACTTATTGAACCCCCGGGTAAAAGGGCACCCCCCAAAAAAACAACAACAACAACAAAAACAACAACAAAAAACCCCCACAAAAACAACAACAACCCCCCCTCCAAGAGGCCCCCCCCCCCCAAGAACCCCCCCCCCCCAAGAACCCCCCCCCCCCCCCCAAGAACCCCCCTCCCCCCCAACAAACAAAAACAACGTGCAGCACGGAAATCCTCGTGGAATTTTGGCCAAATCGGCAAGTGGTCCTTAACCTATGTTGAAGTCAGTGATAAAGGCCTTGAACATCTTGCACTCACTGGCAACATTCATGAATGCAAAAGAGGCAGGGGTAGACCCAGAGCAACTTACTTGGAGAGCCTAAACAGATGGGTGGCGGGGAAATTCATTTATCATGATAAGATAGTTCTTTTTTTAGAGCGTCTAAGCAAAAGAAAAGAATGGAGAACCATGGTCGCCAATGTATGTCGCAGATCTGGCACTTGATGATGATATGTATGCAGTAATTCTCTTTACTCCTTCTCCTATAATAAAATGATCTTAGATTGATGTGAGATTTGCAATGCACCCATATCAAGGACGTTCCAAGTCTTGCTCATCTTAGTCTAAATCTAAGGCTAAAATTCGGAATGGTGAAAACCTCAGACAAAAGTCTTCCCCTCGGAGACTACAGTCTACGTGACATTAAACAACGTAGTATGGTTTGAAATGAGTTTAAACCCCCTTTTAACATTGTAGGGTCATTCATTAGTGGGGACCTTCGAATTTATCTAACTTCCATCTCCGAGAGAGCCGAAGAAGAATAGGTGGAGAGCGTTGAAAATGTCCACAAGGAACAACCTCCACCAATGATTCGAAGCGTGGTCATAAAGCAGGATGCCAACTGAGCTAATGATGTTTCCAAGAAGACCACTTTGATCACTGGTGACGATGCAATAAAAAGAACAGACAAAATATGACATCAATTCAATGTGAGCTATCAAAGATAGTAAATGTCCAAATCTTCATCTTCCTTTTCGTCGATCAACTGGAATTTCTGAAACTGTTTAAACACTTCTTTCCGTCGTCTGATAGTGGTATAAACTTTATCGATATCGGCATTAAATTCATAGTGTATCTCCTTAGGAATCACAACAGTCTTGGATACGTTCTCTTTCTCCAATAGAAGTTCCTCGTGCAAAGACACGTATTTCTCCATATTGCACTTGGGGTCTGCGAGTATTCTTAATCGCGCCGCCCTCGACCGCTCGGAAATTCTGTTCCAGGCGGCTGCAGCTGATACGTGCTTTTTCGCGCGTTCCTGGTGAGAAGGCAAGAACTCTGAAGTGCTACTCGTGAACACCTGCACCGCTGCACATATCGGCAAACTGACCAACCCACAAAGCCCGACTTTACTCGCCAGCATCTTCCCCTTCTGGACCGCGCTCGCCAAGATTCCGGAGGTGGACAACCCTGTGAGAACGTTGGCGAGTATTTTGATTTGTCGCCCCTGTTGGTCTAGAGCCTCGGCTTGGTAGTAATTCATTAGGGCGTTCTTGGTGGACCGGAACTGCATCTCCCGGAAGAGCGTCACGTAAGCCGACCGGAGTTTCTCTTCCGGGGTCAAGAGAGGCTTGTTTCCCGAGGCTGTGGCGGGTTTGGAGGACAGCATAGTGATAGGACCTAGCGGACAGAAACACAATTAGGTTACAATACCACAATCGTGATAAGAATGAAGGAGAACATGTTTCTTCCGAATGGTAAAAATAGCCTACATTACACACACACACACATACATACACACACACACACACACACACACACACACACACACACACACACACAAAGCACAGGGGGCTCTCAAGGTCCAGAGGTTATGGTGTTCGCCTCTTATTCAGTAGGTCCCGGGTTCAAATCCTGACAGCGACGAAAAACTTTCTTCTTTGAAAAAATATTCTCCTTTCATCTGTTTTCCTGCTCTCTAATCATCTGCTTTTATCTCCACTTTCTCCCCCCCCCCCCCCCCTCTGAACTCCCGGCTCTGTCTAATGCTACGCCTAGCTCCTTCTTACTGCCATCTTTCAGTCACACCCCCCCCCCCCCCTACACACATACACATCTTTGCCGCCTCCTATAGGCTCCTGATTCTTTCTGCCGCCTTTCTACTGTTATTCCCTGGATCCTTCATACTGCTGTCTTTCAGCCACACCCCTAATCTTAGGGTAGGTAAGATCGAACAACTAGCCTTCTCGAATAAGGGCCAAACAAAAATATCTAAGATCCCATGTCCAAGTTTCATACGTAAAAGATCCCTTGGTGGTCCTAAAACCGATAAGAGTAGGTTTCGGACGCCACCCGGACAAAATTCAAAATTCCTACCAAACTAAAAAGTTCATGTGTCCCGCACGCTCATATCACCTTATGCAGTGCAAACGCCGTAAAGCTCACTCACACACACATACATACACACACATACACACACATACGCACACACACACACACACACACACACAC